CTTGCCGATGCAGGTGTTTAGCCCACTGAGCTATCTCACTGGCCCTTACATATAGACATTTTAAAATGACAATAGAACATAATAGAAAAGTATGTGCCATAATTATGAAAAACATAGATAAAATGTCAATTTTCCTGAAAAATACAATGTATCAAAACTAGCTACAAAAAAGAAACACAGTGTCTAAATAAGACAGTAAGTAGGGACAGTCCCTCGATTCATGATTTGAGAATAACTTGACCTTGGTTCTAAGGACTGATGAAGAAAGGAACACATTCAGCTAATTTTACTTAGGAACATGTACAAATGCAGCTGGGTTAAGTGGTTTAGACATTATTATTGACTTCCAGCAGAGGGAGCATAATCAGCATCCATCTTTTTGGCACCTTCTTTTGAGTTTGAGTTAATTGAGCTGTTGGATGAGGATCTGATCCAAGAACCACACCAGTGCTCTTCAGCCTTTCACTGTAGGGCCAGTCAGGCTGGCACTTGTTACAGGTTAGATTGCCTTCTTCCAATACATTCAAGTCCTAACCTCTGGTATCTATGAGCATCACTTTATTTGGAAAAGGATCTTTGCGGATGATCAAGTTAGGAGAGGTCATTAGAATGGGCCTTGATCCAATATGACTGATGTGCTTATTAAAAAGAAAAGTTTGGACAGAAATATGTGGACACAGGAAGAACAACACAGAAAGAGTGTTGGGAGCTGCCAAGGCTAAAATTGATCATATCAGCGGGCAGGATGAGGCCTCATGGCCTAAAGCAGTCACACTACCTCAGTCTTAAACAGAGCATCCTGCCTGGACATTGTGGGCTATTAGTCGCTAGGCAACCTTGTGTCTTATGACTTTGTAAAGGTGTAAACTCCCCTTTACTATTGTTTGGGGAGTCTTTTTGCCAGCCAGGCAGACAAGTCACCACAATCTCTTGTCTTCTTGTCTATCTTTTCCTCATTCCTGCCACCGCTTCTCTCTGGGTGTGACAGACCATACTGAGAGACCAACAGATCCCTACAGAAGAGGGAGGGGGGTAGGATTAGAATGTTACAGCTGCAAAGCAAGAGACCTGGAGAGCACAGGAAGCAAGATAGAAGGCATGGAACAGATTCCCCTCCAGAGCCCTCAGAAAGAACCAATTGTCCAGCACCTTGATTTGGAAAACACAGCTTCCATAATTATGAAGCAACATGTTTCTGTGAGTTCAGCTATCCCTCATTTGTGCTCGTTTGTTATGGTAGCCCTTAAAAAATTTGATAATCCTAGTTTCAAGGGAAGATAAAATCTCACTCCATGACATGTTAGTATTGAAGGTAAGCTTGTCAAAGCTTGGCAAAGACAAGGTCTTTCTGTTTCTGTTAGGTTGGCTAGTTTATCTTTTATCTATTCCCAGGGAGAGACATATGTGTCTGGTCTGCTCTTGAATTTATGGCCTTCACCAGGAAGAGATCTCAGCAAGGGTACTGTGTGGAATTTCACTTCTTCAGTACTGTTGGTGCAGGTCTACTCTGGTGAAAAGGTTGGGCTGGTGCTCATATTTTCTGATTTACTCCTATATGAATAGAAAAGTGATTCTCAGTTATATATTAGGAATGAAGAATACTCTCTTGCCATGAATGCCAGAATCACTAGCAGTGGCTGGGCAGCAAAATCTATCTTTCCCATGTATATTCAATATTTTAATTGCTGTAGTCACAACTTTCTGTTTTTTAGTTTTTAAAAATAATTATAGATACAGAGGACGTTGTTTTGACATTTCAGATCTTACGCTTGCAGCATGTATTGCTCTCCTTGGGCTGCCATCATATAATAGGACGAGCCAAGGCAGCAGGGGTGATGGCCTTGCCGTCTGAAGGTGAGAGGTCTGGGACGAAGACACCAGTGGGCTTGGTTGCTTCTGGGGGAGCCTCTGTTCCATACCTTCTCCTAGCTACTTGGGATTTGCTGGCAGTCTCTGGCCTTCCTTGACTTGTAATTCCCAGTTTTTGCCTTCCTCTGGGCCTGGCATTTTTGGTGATGTGCATACTTTGTGCCCAAATCTCCCTCTAAAATTAAAACACAGTCATACTGGCTTAGGGTATATCTATGCACCTTACTGTCTTTTAACTTTATTATTATTAAAAATGTATTAGAGGGGCCGGAGAGATGGCTCAGAGGAATAAGCACTTCCCTGGCAAGCACAAGGGCTTGAGTTCAATCCTCAGTTCCACAAACCAAACCAAACCAAAACAAAATGTATTGGATATACATTCTTTTCAGTGAATATATATATATATATATATATATATATATATATATCTCCAAATAAAGTAATCTTCACAGGTACTGCAGGTTAGGACTTCAGCATACCTTTGATGAACAAAATTTAATTCAAAATTTAAAAAAATTTAATTCAAAATTAAATTATAGAGTAAATGTTTTTGGTGTTTAGGAAGTGGAGATTAGGGGCCGGCCAAATAGCTCAGCAGATTAAAGTGCCTGCAAGCAGGCACAGGGGTGAGGGAGGGGGTTTGATCCTCGGGCCTGCTGTGCTGGTCCCGCCCCCGGGGGCACTCTGAGTTAACAATTGAGACTGGGCATGGTGGCGCATGCCTGTAATTCCAGCTCTTGGGAGGCTGTAAACAGGCAGATCACTAGGTGTCAGATCTAGGAGTGAGACCCTGAACATCCTGTAGACCCTTCCCTAAGATACAAAAAAAAAAAAAAAAATGGAGATTAGTTTTAAAGGGTTAAGAATTCCACAACTGACTACTTGTCACGTAAGTCTCCCTGAGATGTGCCTAACCTGCTGGCGTGTGTTACAGCCTTGGACATTGTTGGTGCTGTATTCTGTAACCTCATCCACTCCCAATCCAATGAGTCAGAAGGTCCACAGGCCTCTGTGGGGTAGAGTCTGTACTATTGCTGGGTTTGGGCTCCCCGGGCAATCAGGGCTCAAAAATAACCACCATGTATATTGGTACAAAATTTAAAAACTGACTACATTAAAAATTCAATTAAATGTAAAAAACCCACAAAAAACCAAAAAACCAAACTCTCAAATTGTACCCAGTGTGGATCCTGCAAAAGCCACATAGTCACATACATTGAGACCCTGACATTCAATGAAAGGATGAATTGACTGCAAAAGGAGACATGACAGGCTCGGTTCAGGCTCAGGTTGCTTTGTTCTCGGCTATCTTTGACTTCTGGTACTGCTGAGCACAGACAGCCTGAGATGAACAAAACAGATCTGACTGTGACCTGTTAAATCACCAGACTCGCTTAGGGCTGCCTTTTCTCTGTGAGTGAGGCTTTCTTCTGGCTGTGCAGGGCTGGATCCTTCTCATCTATCTCTCCTAACCCACTGTTTATTACCTTCATACAATTTAGTTTTACATTTTAATTATACTTTTACATTTGTTTACCTGTTCTTTGATAATCTTTCTATACTAAACTATGAAGACAGAGAATGGAGCACATTGTGTTCAGTGTCTGGCAGGTAGCACAACATTGATGTTTGTTGAGTGGGTAAATGCATGAGTGAAAAAATGTATAATGGTGACACGGTGGTACCGAGATAAGTGGTGCCTTTTTCAATATTTTTCAATATTGGGTAGAATAGTATCCCCATAGACTCTGCTAATGGGTCCAGCATTTGTCATGACATATTTCCATGTAAAGGTGACAAGAGTATTATGTTTTGTTCTGCCTGGTCTCACTCATGTGAATGATGATGAGTGATAAAATCTTAGGGCTTTGATTTGATGTTGGGTTACAGTGGCTGATCCTCAAGTATTGATTGCACACTCTTAAAGGTAAGATTGTATGGGAAGGTCATGTATGATTTTCAAGCAAGTCTTAACTAAAATTTCGTTTGTAAAGAGAGTTGAAAGGTTTGGTCCCCAGAACTCAGAAACCAGAATGCTGATAGGAATGAAGACAGAAAAGAACAGATTCTGTCGGTTTCAGTTTGGGAAAAGGACTTAGCTAGCAATTATGCTAGAGGCCATGTGTGTTACACTCTGAAAAATTTTGTTTACATTTTTCCCCATGGGCTGAGACTTTTCAGAATACTGAAATTAAGGGCAGTGGACTAACTGATGTGCTAGAAGAAATTTCAGAGCACCCCAATGTTCAGGCAGTGGTATGGGCATTGCTTCATGCCTTCAGCCAAATTTATAGTAAGAATTTGGGGCAATAAACAGAACATTAACATTTGAAAAACTTACATTTTGGTTGAGGAGAAACTATGTCTAACGTTGGGGCCAGAAGAGGTGTAGATGCTGAAGAGATTAGTATTACTGAAAAGAAGCCAAATACTTTGTATAGGTACAAACAAAACAAAACAAGATAATAAAATTATCCATGAGAAAAAGTAACATTTAAAGCAAGGTAAGATGCTTTATAATTATTAGAAGGAAATTTGACATAACTCTGAGGGCACTATTAAGTACTGAAATTTAGTGGCAATATTTTATCATAATTCTTTTTTTTCTCTAGTGTTTATGAGACTGTCACTACATAATTTATAAGAGTGATCCTCTGTGTTTGTGGTTTTTGGGAAATTTTATGAGCTCTCAAAGGTATTTCTCAGTGAGCAGGGTTAGGTCAATATTTAGTTTGCTATGGATAAACAGTAGAAGTTACTAACAGTACACATTTCCATTCATGGGCTGCTACAATGACAGTATATGGCATTAAAGAAAAATGAACAGAATTATCTTGAGGTCATGATATTGCCAAATCTTTCAGAGCAGACGCAGGATTAAGTGCTTACAGTGATAAGTACAAACTTAACATGAGCTACTTAATGATTTCCCATTAAGATTATTTCAATTTCATTACAATGAAATTTAACTACTACTTATTAATTGCCTAGAGGAAAGAAAGTTTGGAGCAAGAGTTTCTTGGTATTCTATAAGTATTCTCAGATAAAAGCTCTGTTCTATTTCAGAACATAATTCAGTCTTATACTTCTAAGTTTTTGATCTGATCTTGTCTCTTGTGTTCTTGTAATAAAATTAAAGTCTCCTAAGCTCTGTCCTAATCATCTCCTATTACACACACACACACACACACACACACACACACACACAGAGAGCCCTTCTCCGGTAAAGGTCAGGTCAGTGGTGCTCAATCCTGGCTGCGCATCAGAATTTCCTGGTGAATTTTAAGAGGTTTTATTTTTGTTTTCTTTTTGCAGCATTGTGGACTAAGCCCACGATCTCATGCATGCTAGGGATGTGCTCTTCTACTGGGCTGTACCCCAAGTCTTAAGAATTTCTTCCTAAAGTTGAACTTTTAATTTAAGATCTCTTCACCAGATTCTGAAGGTGAGTGTTTCACAATTCAAAATATAACTTGCCAACAGATGAGGATCTGTCTTCACAAAGCAGGATTTTCACGGATCTCAATGTGTTTTAAGTACAGGGTAGTCCCCCGATCTATGATTATCTTCCTATCGTGTCGGTGATCAGGTCAATCTTGGTCTGAAAGTACAGTATAGTAAAATAAGATGTGAGAGAGAGGAAAAGAGAGAACTAGATAGAATTGTATATATTGTTACAACAGTGTATTTGTTTGATTTCATTATCAGCTGTTAATCTTAGTGTGCTTAATTTATAAACTAATCTATCATGGTTGTGTATATATGACGTTGGAGTTTTAGGGACTTGAAATCTATACCCTGTGGATAAAGGGAGACTAGTATGTATTTCTGTTTTTCTCTTTTTGCTCTGTTTGGACCCCAGTAAGTTGAGTAACACCACTTAAATTGGTGAGAGTGATTCTCTTTATTCAGGCTGTTGATTCAAATGCTAATCTTTTGCAGAGACCCCTTCTCAGGTGATGTTGAACATCTATCTAAGCATCCCTTAATCCAGTCAAGTTGATGTGATAAAGTTAACCATTACAAGAGTCAAAAGAGGGTTGGGGAGATAGTTCAGCGGCATAAGCACCTGCCTGGCAAGTGCAAGGTCCTGAGTTGAAAGGTATTTTAAACTTCATTTTTTAAAGGGTTACTTGTGGAAATCTACCAGAGTAGACCGATTTACCCTGCCCACAGATTAAAAATTGTTTGGAAAATTTCAAGACTTACTTAAGTAAAGACATTTGGAAGATAATTATTTTAAAGAGCAAATGCCTTACTTGAAAGGGCAGACCAGAGGAATTTTGATTGGAGCAGCCAAGACAGAGGGGCTGTCCCTGGGCTCCGGAGTCCTGAGACTCATCCAAGATCAGCTTCTGGGATATTGGAGGTACCTCCATCCTCCCACTTTAAGCCAGCTTCTTTATGTGTAAAAATGTGACGAGCTAAGCCTCCAGGCTTGTTTTGAGGATTAAATTGAGTAAATATTTGTGAAAGTGTTTGACATATAATTAGTGTAATTTTTAAATAAATTGCTAAATTGTGGAAACCTTTCATTGATTTCAGAAGGTAAAGAGAAAGAGAACTATTTTGCATATGAAAGGTATTTATTTATCTTATCAGTTCTAATGATGTTTAAATATCTGTTTCGCAGCATAAGCTGGCTTTGCTTGGCCATTTGGATAAATACGTGTTTTGTGTTTTTTTTTTTTGTTTTTGTTTTTGGAGCTTCAGCTGTTGTTTATTGACACACAGGTGGGCTCTTTAGCAACAGGCCTGGAGGTGGCGGGCGGAGTGTGCGCGAGAGGAGTGCGGTGGCAGAGAACTGTGCACAGGTTGAGTGGGGAGGCCGAGGTGACTGGGGAGGGAATCTGAGCATTTGG